CCAGAACTATAACTATAATATTATTACTTTCAATAATGTTGTTGTAAGCTACTGTCAATACCTGCATCTCTCTCTCTCTCTCTCTCTCTCTCTCTCTCTCTCTCTCTCTCTCTCTCATGTCCTGTTACTGCATCTTGCTAACTCGGCCGTACTGCCTGTCACTAACTCAGCTTCTTCTGCGGAGCCTTTGTGCTCCACTGTCTCTCAGGTTAACTTCTATCACAGCGGTGCCTGGATAGTATGACGTGTGTGGTTGTGCTGCTGCCGTGGTCCTGCCAGATGCCTCCTGCTGCTGCTGCCATCATTAGTCATTAGTCATACTTCTACTGTTATTATACACATGATTATTGTCACATATGTATACTATCAGATATTAATATATACTTTCAACATATTGTACCACAGTAGCCAGAATTATAATTATAACATTATTACTTTCATTAATGTTGTTGTAACCTACTGTCATTACCGTCTGTCCTGCATCTCTCTCTGTCTCTCTCTCCGTCTCTCTCTCTCCGTCTCTCTCTCTCTCTCTCTGTCTCATTGTGTCATACGGATTACTGTTAATTTATTATGCTGATCTGTTCTGTATGACATCTATTGCACGTCTGTCCGTCCTGGAAGAGAGATCCCTCCTCAGTTGCTCTTCCTGAGGTTTCTACCATTTTTTTCCCCGTTGAAGGGGTTTTTCCTTATCCGCTGTGAGGGTCCTAAGGACAGAGGGATGTTGTATGCTGTAAAGCCCTGTGAGGCAAATTGTGATTTGTGATATTGGGCTTTATAAATAAAATTGATTGATTGATTGATTGATTGATTGACTGATTGATCATAACCAACGTGACTGGGCCAAGTGTGTCTAAATATGACAGAAGATAGTCTAAAAGGCAGACTGCAGCGAAATTTACTAAGCACATTCATGATTTCCTGCATGAAAACAAACTCCACATACTCAGCCCGACTAATAGAAAAACCCTTGGTAAGTTGCTGTGTCCCACATGCTTATAATGTGGACTGTAATGAACATTGCAGTCTCTTGTTTCCACTGGCAAGACTTTTGTTTTCTTACATCTACTCCTCCTATCACTTCCTCTGTTACGGCTGCCTTGGTGTTGTCTCTGTTCATGTTGGCTCCAGCTCCTGGGAACACACAGCATAGGAAACGGTTGCACAATTTGTTCACATGCATATGTGTTTGCGTGTGTGCACATGGATCTGTGCATGAAATATGTGAAACATACCTCGCACTTTGGAACACTTGTATTTATAAACCACGACCAGAGCAAACGTCAGTGTGAGCAGCACAGCGGGCACGGCGAAAACCACAGGGTGTACACGTGCTGCATCGAGGAAAAAAAAAAAAGAAGAAAAAGAACAGAACTGGGTAAAAATATACACTTCCAAAAAAAACACATACCAGCTGCGCACTCCTCACATACAATATCTGTTATCACAATCTCAAGCACAAAACAGCAATAGTTTCAGAATTATATGATATTAATAGATTATGATTAGTGATACATTTATGTGTTCATCACTTTAATATACTCGGTAGCTTAACACATAATAATATATTATAGTGTATCAGTCGATTTATATTCTGTGTTAAATACTGAATCTATAAAGTAACTGGTAACTTAAGTTGTAAAATTAATGTAGAGGAGTAAAGATTAAAATATTTGCCTCCAAAATGTAGCTGAGTAGAAGTATAAAGTAGCACACAATGGAAATACTCAAGTAAAGTACAAGTACCTCAAAGTTACACATTAGTACAGTATCTGAGTAAACGTACTTAGTTACATTCCACCAGTGGTTACCTCTCAGCATTTGGTGTTTTCATGCTTCCTTGTTTTTTATGACTGGTCATTGTGTGTCGAAACACAATTGTTGGTTCCCACCAAGTGGCAGCCTCTGAGGCTGAGAAAAGAAGCCAACACAGAAGTGCCGAAGACTAGAGTTCCTTAAATGACCACTTGAGGCTAATGCCAGAAGCAAGCCAATCTTCACTGACGCCCATGTTAAAATTTACAGCTTTTCAGCAGATTTAAACATGTTTACAGCCTGGCACAAAAACATTTTGGGTCTCCATATCATTCAACATTTGTGACAACTGTACAGGAGCTGAATTTTTATATAACTCATACTCATTATATTTTTATTAAGGCTTAAAGTTATGCATATTCAAGGGTGTGGCTGCTTGAGTCTATGAGTCAGATCCACCCCTCACTCCTCCACAGCTCCACCTTCCACCACAAATATGGTCACTCCTTGTAGGAGCCAGAAAATGTATTTAACCCTCATTGTTTATTATTTGTTTAGGCTGCACACTTTCTTTTAGTCTCTTTCAATTCTGGTAGTAATTGACACAGGTGTGGGCGTGGTTTGACATCATTTTACCTGTCACTGGTGTGAAGACCTTTTAGACAAAGAGGGTGAGTTTTGGCTCCAGTATTTTGTGCTGACTGCAATCACGTAATATTTCTTATTTTGCTTTAATTATCCAGTTGTTTAATAAGCCACCATAAACGTATCTTTGGACTACAGTATGGATTTCTTTGAACGAGTCACAGTTAAGAGCCTGCTCAGGCTTTTTTCATTGATAGTAGTCGCTACACTTCTAACTCCAAAAATCCAAGATGGCAACAGCCAAAATGCTGAACTCCAGGTTTCAAAACGTCAGTCTACAAACCAATGGGTGACATCACAGTGGCTACGTCCATTATTTTACACACATACGTTTGATCTGTTGTCCAGGGACTGGTGTTGATTGTGATGCAACAGGTTCCACCACAGTGATGGTAGATCTCACAGTGCTGGTCTGCTGTGAAAAGCCTGTGAGAGAAGGTTTTTTTGTAAGTACTCTTAGCATATATTCTTAAAGGAAATGGCCACTTTAGAATGAAAATACAGACAGTACTTACTGACCCTCATGCCAACAAGAAGTCCAGTGTAGTTTTTTAATCCACAAAACTCATTTGGGGTATCGGAGGATAAAAGCTAGCCGGAATAACAGCTACACTTGAAGTGCATGTAACCCACATTCTGAAAATGTAATAAAACTCCGCTAATGCATTTCAAAAACGTCAGAAGAGCTCGTCTGTCGTAATCCAAGTGCCCTGAAGCCGCGGCATGCAAAATTGACTTGAAAAGACGTAATTTACTCCACTTTTATAGCATAATTTCTCACCGTGGTCAGTTAGCCTGCCCTGCAGGCGTGCTGTGTTTACATGGCAACTCGCGCCAGACTAGCTGATAGCTAGTGGTGGTGCTAATTCTTGAGTCTCGCCATGTAAACACAGCAGCCTGCTGACCACGGTGAGAAATTATGCTATAAAAGTGGAGTCTTTTCAAGTCAATTTTGCATGCCGCGGCTTCAGGGCACTTGGATTACGACAGACGAGCCGTTCTGACGTTTTTGAAATGCATTAGCAGAGTTTTATTACATTTTCAAAATGTGGGTTCCATGCACTTCAAGTGTAGCTGTTATTCCGGCTAGCTGTTATCCTCCGATACCCCGAACGAGTTTTGTGGATTAAAAAACTACACTGGACTTCTTGTCCGCATGAGGGTCAGTAAGTACTGTCTGTATTTTCATTCTAAAGTGGCCATTTCCTTTAACTTCAGCCATGCTAGCAGCAGGGCTCTGAGGAGAGCAGTGTGGTCAGCTGGTCGACCCACCAACCTGGTCCAGACTGAAATAGCTCAACAATTATTTAAAGGATTGAGATGAAATTTGGTACATATATTCAAAGTCCTCAGAGGATGAATCCTAATTGTTTTGGTGATCATCTGACTTTATATCTAGCACCACCAGCAGATCAAAAATTACACGTATCCAGTAACATGTCTCAAAATCTACCCCATGGATTGGCACAACATTTTGTATACAGACATTCCCAGATGATATGTCCTGATGATTTTGCTGATCCCCCCGACTTTTCTCGCCTTATCTCAGTGTACTTTACCTTTAGTGCAGTGAATATTACCATGCTGATATGCTAAGTTATGGTGGTGAGCAATGTAAACATTACACCTAAGAATCATACACTCTACAAATCAGGCTTTCAGTGGGGCTTTAATTAGACAAAAACTTTTGATTGAAACAAAGTTGTCAGATTATGTTGAAATACAGTGTATCCTTTCCTTGATAGAATATAAAGGCAGTTTTGCTATTATTTGATAGATCATAGTTTGGGAATCCACAGAGAAGAGCTAACTAAACTACAGGACACCAAGTTTACACAGCGGTGATCAAACCCTGATATAACTAACAGCTACAGTTATTTTTACCATCACATATATAGATGTACTTACCTAGTGACAGCTGAATCTGTGTGTAGTTCGCAGCAGTCCACTGTGGGTCTGAACCACACCAGTATGTCCCAGCATCCCCTGCTCTCAGCTCCGTGATCAGCACCGTGAAAGAGCTGGAAGGAACGTCATCTTGCAGCGTGAACCTGCTCTGACTTGTCACCATGTCTGTACAGTTGTTGCGGTGGTCTCCCTTACAGAGGAACTTCCTGTTATGCCTATGTTGTGGTGGATATGGACACTGCATAGTTCCGGGTTGGCCCACAATGCCTCTCAGTTTGTTCGACTTCACGCAGCACCATTCTGTCAAACAGAAGGAGGTGTTAATCAACACTGCAGCCTGTAATCAGCTCAAGTTAGAAACGTATGTGCATGATCACACTGATGTTGTTTCAGAAACCTTTTGCAATATTTTTCTTAAAATCTATTTTATAGATTTTGTTTGTCCCGGACAATTTAGAGGTTTATTAAAACATGATGAGGTATATCTCTCACCTTTGACCTCGAGCTCAAATGCAGAGAAAACATCCAGGCCAGGGTTCACACGGACACCACAAAGGTACGACCCAGAATTCTTTTGGGTCAGCTTGGTAATGATCACTGTGAATTTCTCCAACATCATGTCATCTGTAAATCTGAACTGTCCATTTTGTTTGTTGTCAGAGGTGATTACGGCACTCTCCAGACATGTGGAGGTTTGGTTTCCTCTGCAGACGTACTTAAGATTGTTCTGGTATTTAGACTCATACAGACAACTGATGGACACTGAACTCTCTTCATAGCTTTGGGTTTTGGTTGAATGATCACAACAGCTATCTGTGGTAAAATGAACATCACAGACTGTTACAACAGCAGATGTAAGTATTCAGATTACTGCTCTAGATAAGTAATAAAATATTGACTCTTACTCTACAATGCAGACATTTAGGACTGGTGTTTATTTATTTATTTTTCACGTACCTCGTCCTACTTCCAGCTTCACTTCAGTGTAGAGATCCTTACCAGTCCTTGTCACCCCACACCAGTATTTCCCAGCATCTGTACGACTTAGATCGGAGATGGTCGCTATGAAGACTTGTCTGTGTTTATCATCATAGATGGAGTATCTGTGCTTCTTTGCTTCTGTTGTCGTAATAAGAACATCACTGTCGCCACAGTCATTCTTGCACAGGTACTTCTCGTAAGATTCATAACCCTGTCCGTACCGACAAGAAACATTAACTTCACCCCCTTCATATCCAGACACATGGATCAACCCTGCTGCATGCCTCACACAGCTGAGAGCAACTGTATAAAGAAAAAAACATGAAATGTAATCACAACTTCTTTCTACAAATTTACATGTTTTTTTTCAATTTTAGCTTCTTATCAGATTATTGAATATATAAAGTATGTATATTTGAATCTGTTGTGATGTCTGTGACATCATGTTTATTTTATGCGCAGTGTTACAGTTGTATAATGAAATTACAAAGACCAATATCAAGGTGTATTCTTCCACATTGTATTTGCAGAAAAACATACATTACACACATTTACTAATTTAAACAAAATAACTTACTGCACAGGGTGATCAGCAGGCTCTTAAGGCTCCACATCCTCATGTTACTGCAGCCTAGTTTTGAAGAAATGGAAACTACAAAAGACGTGTGTCCAATATAGAAAATGCTACACCCCCCATATCTGTCAGCATGCCATGCAAGCTCTCTCACTTCCTCATTTAGATTTATAAAGTTTATCAACCTTAGACTGTCACAGTTACATCTGTTAAAAGAGGAAAGGTATGTGACTGATCTAATGTCGGTGAAACTGATAGAGTGGTACAAAAGAAACAGACTTACTTTTACTCAAATCAGGGGTGGGTATGATTTCATTTTTGAATAAAGTACAAACAGTTCCTTTTGGTTTTAGAGTTATTTAGAGAGGTGTATTTGCATAGGAGTTCAATCAAGTGTTCACACTGACACCACAGAGGGGCGCTCTATCCAACCTTATACCTCCAAGATGCACAGTGCATGAATGTAACTGTGCAGTGTCTAACATTTAATCCTAATATAAAATCTGCCCAGTGTTTAAATTAATAAACACGTTGTCTTGGACAGATATATTTTCACAATGTTTGCTTCTTTTTTTGAGCATTTTTCTTTTTTAAATTTTGAGCACTTACTCCTATTACCAGCATGTCGCTCTGAAATGAGAGATTCACACGTCTGCATTATAATACAGAAGAATAAAGTGGTGACCATCTTCTTTTTTCAAAATTAAATAATCAACTGATGCAGACTCAAATAAATGTAAATGAAAATCAGAATAAATTAAATCTATTTTTCAGAAGGTTCTCAAAATGTAAAAGTAGCCTATAAAACACACTAAATATTAATAACTTGTAGTTGTTATTTTACCTGTGTAGCTGTCATATCCCTCAGTAGGGCTGTAAACCTTTAATTTCTGATATCAACTACTAACGATGATCCAACATAACATCACACCAACTCTACACAAGATAGATTTATTCAAGTATTAAAGACTTTTGTCATTAAGAAACCTGTTGACACTCTCACAGTAGTAGTGTGAAAACTTGATTATGCTAACAGAATAATTATAGTCTCTTTCAGTGTAAATTTAACTGTGAGAAACAATGCAAGCTCTAAAATAATAATACTGTTAACAATACCATGAAATTAAAAGTAACTTAATTTTTAAGCAGTGTTTTACTTTATATGAATACATTTTAAAGGGGTGCATTAAAAAAATAATATTTGTAATTTTATTTACTAATGTGTTTGAGTTATAGGCGACTGTCAACAGATGGATAAAAAAAGAACAGTAAAAATGGAGGCAGAGATATTCTCACTTTTAGTCCCTGTAGAGTGCTGCAGGAATGAGTCCCAGATAAGAGATAGCATCTCACCACTCCTGGTTCCCTCATCTTAAAGTCAGTGGGTTTTTGGTTAGCTGCCTGAAATAAGGTCTGTAATTAACACAAGCTTAAGAGACTTTTAAGTTTTGTTCTACGACATAAAATTCATCAGTAAAAACGTCCCAGTCTCACTCCGAAGTCTCAAAATTCAGCGCTTAGGGAGTGACTTGTGGCGTCAGACACAGACGAAAAAAGCTGTCCTTTAATGTCAGCATGATACACAGCTGGTTGCTGTTATAGTTTACCAGTGCCTGGAAGCGTCAGGGGAACATGGCAGGACAAGAACGAAAGTCAAGGTAGCGAAAGTCCAAGTTGAGCGGGCTGGAGGAGTGGTAGATGGGTCCAACAAACCCAAACCCTCCGGTGTTTGCGTCCCTTAAGGTTATTAAGCCAAACCAAGCTCTTTTTTCTTAAACCTAACCACGTACTTTTGCAGCCTAAACCCAACCACATGTTTGTTGTTGAAAGAAAAAAGAACATCAATGTGTGGTGTTATACCGACGTAGTGCGATTATTTTGAGTGACTGTAAGTGTTAAATTTCCTGTGACAATGAGAGTGAAGTGTGAAAGAAGACAATGCATGTAACAGGCAGAACTTGACATGGCCTCCCAGAACTTCAACAACCAACGCACCCAGGGTACCTTGCACATTGTATCTGGACTTGAAAAGTCCATGACCAAACGTCAATATGTGGCAGGGTTGGAAACAGAATGTGTTGGTAAACACTAGGGAATTTTAAAGCTTTTAGGTGTCTTAAATAAGGTGGTTGCTATCAGGTGGCTAAGTGAGACTTTAGAAAGTCATCATGCCGAACATGCTTACAGCCTTGTTGTGGTGGTGATGTCAGGACGTGCAACTGCATAGTTTGTTTGTAGCCTAGCATTAGCTTTTTACTTCTGGTGATTTTATTTATACCTCAAAAAATCATAAATCATATTGTTTGATTATTTTCAGCAATAATCCTAAATCCCTAATAGCTTTTTTTAAGGGAACCAGGGCCACATTAACTTGTGCATCTGCCTACAAAAAAACAACATCCCTGCACTGTGCTATATGTCAAGCTCCAAAAGTGCTAGATCCTACATTTCCCATAATGCAACCAATAGTATCTCTCAATCCACCCTTTCCTTCTGCTGAAAGCCCATTTAGTAACACAGGCATTCTGTTGCAAATGTGTTGTCTTTAAATTCAAGTCGAGGTGACCCTGATGACATCACTGTGTCATCTGGGTTTTTTTCCACGTCAAACTTGACAAAGCTCCAGAGACACATGCTGTAAGACAACTGTACTCGCGGGTTGAGTCACAGTCCTTGTGATGAGTAACCTGATCTTCATTTATAAAATCATTGGAGTGCCTCTTCAACACCCAAGAGGGAGACAAAAAACATTCCTTCATATTTTCATCCACACACTCTGTACTCTTTCATAATATGCAGCCAATCGTTTTGTAAAATTACTTTTTGANAACCCAACAGCGACAAAAAAGCCTTTCTCTATATGGCTATTTAGCGTAGCCTCGGTCGGGTCGGACACAGCTGAAGTCAGCAAACCAGAATACGGTACCTGGAGGCGGAAGTAAGTCTACACGCCTGCAGTGGCCTGCAGCCATTAAACCACAGAAGAAGAAGGAGCCGTGTTTATGAGTAGGATTTAAGAAACAGGTTAAAGGACATGTAGTAGGGAGTAGTGAATGATTTCGGACACATTGCACACTCTTGTACAGTAGGTGGTGGTATGCACCTGGAAGTTGTTTGCGATCCGCCAATAAACTGAGAGAAGAAGAAGAGCCGTGTTTACAGAGAGTGTTCTTTGAGTAAGCGGTATGCAACGGGCATTGCTGAACACATAACAGTTTTACCAGATGTATCTATAAGGACTTGGCTGTACTTTCGATGTCATGGTGGATAAAGAAGGAGCACCATCTAAAAGTTAAAGAACAGAAGAACAGAAGAAGGCTAAACGGGACAGTGACAGGGCTCGAGCCCAAACGCATGTAAACCTCGGTCGGGCATTTGCCAAGTGGAGAGAGCTGAGAGATTTGAAAGGTTTTAAAACTGATCCCGAGTTGGCCCTTTTCCTAATCGACAGGTATGCAATTTTTGTTTTCATTTAGAGAATAAACCGCAACTTGTTAGACGTTGTTTCACTTCAATATATGACGACATGGAAGTTATAAGCAAGCTAAATGTAGCGTTAGCTGATGTGAACCGCTTTTGTCTAGTAACGTTACAACAAACGCCACAAAATTATCTGTGCCTGTGACCATGAACACAAATATACAGCAGGCAGTTGTCCTCAGTTTATAAGAAATTCAGAGCTACACCAGAACATTTATGATTTTCCTCTCGCTC